GGAAGGAAGGAAGGAAGGAGGCTTGGCAGTGTGCACGGCATCAAAAGGAAGGAAGGAAGGAAGGAAGGAAGGAAGGAGGAGGAGCTAGCCGTTAACACTGCAAAGGAAGGAAGGAAGGAAGGAAGGAAGGAAGGAGCCCCCATTTGCAAGGCTGCTTCTGAAGGAAGGAAGGAAGGAAGGAAGGAAGGAAGGGAGAGAGGGAAAAGGGTGACTCATCCAAGGAAGGAAGGAAGGAAGGAAGGAAGGAAGGACCAGCTGGGGAGAGGAGAGCCCCAAAAGGAAGGAAGGAAGGAAGGAAGGAAGGAAGGGTTGCCGGGCCATTGCCTCTCCCGGTAAGGAAGGAAGGAAGGAAGGAAGGAAGGAAGGGGGGGCCCCAGCGAAAGCGGAGCTCCAAGGAAGGAAGGAAGGAAGGAAGGAAGGAAGGCCCTTCTGGGCCCAGGTGAAGAAGTTAAGGAAGGAAGGAAGGAAGGAAGGAAGGAAGGGCAAAGGCATCCAGCCAAGGCTGCACTTCAACCTGCCCCTCCATAGGCCTGTCACTTTGGCTCGGAAAAGAAGTGAGCCCGGGCAAGGAAGGAAGGAAGGAAGGAAGGAAGGAAGGCCCAGGAACTGAACATTAGATGTTCAAAGGAAGGAAGGAAGGAAGGAAGGAAGGAAGGCCCTTCTGAGTACTCAGATCCAGTTTAAGGAAGGAAGGAAGGAAGGAAGGAAGGAAGGAAATGGGCCAAATTCACAAACACGACAAGGAAGGAAGGAAGGAAGGAAGGAAGGAAGGATCATGGGGTGGGGGTGGGGGGGAAGAAGGAAGGAAGGAAGGAAGGAAGGAAGGAAGGACAAAAGGGTAAAAGAATTTATTGATAAGGAAGGAAGGAAGGAAGGAAGGAAGGAAGGATACCAAGAGTTATTTGGCTATGGGGAACCAGGCATTCCCACACAATGCTGGTAAGTGTGTAAATTAGCACAATCCTTCTAGAAGGCAATCCAGAAATGTGTTTACCAAACGCCTGCATATTTCCTTTGACAGAGTAATTTCAAGGAAGGAAGGAAGGAAGGAAGGAAGGAAGGATATGCAGAGACATTCATTTTTCAGCAAGGAAGGAAGGAAGGAAGGAAGGAAGGAAGGACAAATTAAATGACTAACAACAAAGGGCTGGTCAAATACATTGTGGTTCAACCCTCAATAAAATACTATATAACCGTTCAGATAAAGGAAGGAAGGAAGGAAGGAAGGAAGGAAGGGTAAAACAATCACAGCATATTGTTTGAAGGAAGGAAGGAAGGAAGGAAGGAAGGAAGGTTCCAAGTTACAATGAATATATGATGAAGGAAGGAAGGAAGGAAGGAAGGAAGGAAGGCATAGGAATCGGTAGGGAAAAAAAAGAAGGAAGGAAGGAAGGAAGGAAGGAAGGAAGGACCCTTGGGTAAGATTACATATTTTCAACTTTTCTTTATGCTCGCCAGTATTTTCTAACAATTCTACTATTAAATATTTTTCAATGATAAGAGATTGGACCACATGATTTACAAACTTGCTGCCAACTCTGACATTTGGGGCATCTATGATTGATGTCCCAAGTGACTTCAGACAACCCGTATTTAGTGTGGACTTACTGTGTGGTCTTTGGAGCCAAAGTCATGGCCCCACAGCTGTAGCTTTCTGCATTCCTCTCTACCCATACTCACTACCCAGCTGTCTCAAGGGCCAGCCTGGGCGCTTCCCCTGTCTGAAATTCACATGCCAAGGACTGAGCAAAGGAACTCGGCATGGTAGCAGGTGCCACGGGGGCACAAAGAGATCAAAGGCACAACTCTAGTTCCAGAATCCTACTGGGCCACAGGACTCACACACAAAAAGTGCCTGGTTGTATAACACAGGCTAAGAAAACCAGAAGAGTCAGAAAGCAGGGCAAGCCGGGAAAGGAAGGCCTGCTGGAGAAGGCCATGCAGGAATGGTGGGTGAGGGCAGTGGAGGCAAGGGGCACAGGCTGGGCAAAGGTGAAGCCAACCCAAAGTCCTCTGGGATACATGCCCCAAACCTGCCCAAGAAACTTTCACAATCCTTGGTCCGCAGATTTTCTGAACTTTGGCCTGAATGGGTAAAAGTTAAGTCTCCTAAACAGAAGTCTTCCCTCTATAAGGAAGGAAGGAAGGAAGGAAGGAAGGAAGGTTCAGATGAAGACAATAAATTACCTTAAGGAAGGAAGGAAGGAAGGAAGGAAGGAAGGGAGATGAAGGGGAGGGTCCGGGAGGGAAGGAAGGAAGGAAGGAAGGAAGGAAGGAAGGCAGACATCTCACACGCAAGCAGTGCTAAGGAAGGAAGGAAGGAAGGAAGGAAGGAAGGTCTGCAACACCAGCCCCATTTGACAGAAGGAAGGAAGGAAGGAAGGAAGGAAGGAAGGGCTTGCTCTGGGGTCACCCAGCCAGAAAGGAAGGAAGGAAGGAAGGAAGGAAGGAAGGGACTCCAAGTCCAGTGCTATTTCGAGAAGGAAGGAAGGAAGGAAGGAAGGAAGGAAGGGGTGGCTCTGTCACCCGCTGGCTGCGAAGGAAGGAAGGAAGGAAGGAAGGAAGGAAGGCTCTATCCCCAACTGTAAAATGAGGAAAGGAAGGAAGGAAGGAAGGAAGGAAGGAAGGGCTGGGCTCTATGAACCTTCTAGGGGAAGGAAGGAAGGAAGGAAGGAAGGAAGGAAGGCCAAGTTGGGCCGGCAAAGATCACCAAAGGAAGGAAGGAAGGAAGGAAGGAAGGAAGGAAAAAGCAAACGTCCCAGATTAACTTTCACTGCACTGCTTCTGCTGACACCTGATTACCCAATTTTCTAGTTTCCTTGGGTGAAAAGGAAGGAAGGAAGGAAGGAAGGAAGGAAGGAAAAGGACAATTAATTATTGGTGAGCCAAAGAACACCAAAGATGGAGTTAAAACCACGGTCCAGAACGCACAGTTCTTGCTAGGGGTCCCTGAACGAGTCTCTGGCTATTTCAGGCCTCCTTCACCCAAGTCTCAGTCGAGAAAGGAAGGAAGGAAGGAAGGAAGGAAGGAAGGGCTGAGGACAGAACTTTCCCAGGGGCAAGGAAGGAAGGAAGGAAGGAAGGAAGGAAGGGGCCCAGGCTGCCGGCCGGGGCCGGGAAGGAAGGAAGGAAGGAAGGAAGGAAGGAAGGCGGGGCGGTGGTGGTGCTGGGGCTGGAAGGAAGGAAGGAAGGAAGGAAGGAAGGAAGGCCGGCAACGGCGCCCGCTGACCGCCGAAGGAAGGAAGGAAGGAAGGAAGGAAGGAAGGAGGTACGCGCCTGGCGCGCGCGGCGTAAGGAAGGAAGGAAGGAAGGAAGGAAGGAAGGACCGCTCATCACACACTACCCCCCACAAGGAAGGAAGGAAGGAAGGAAGGAAGGAAGGCCACCCCTTCGGCCCCCGCCCCGAAAAAGGAAGGAAGGAAGGAAGGAAGGAAGGAAGGCCCGCGGCTCCCTGACGCATGGATGTAAGGAAGGAAGGAAGGAAGGAAGGAAGGAAGGCGTGGCGGGCTTCTTCTCCGCGACACAAGGAAGGAAGGAAGGAAGGAAGGAAGGAAGGTCGCCGCCCGGAGCTGAACGTCTCGGAAGGAAGGAAGGAAGGAAGGAAGGAAGGAAGGGCTAGGAGTCGGCTTGCAAGCCTCTCAAGGAAGGAAGGAAGGAAGGAAGGAAGGAAGGGCCCAAAGACAGGCAGATTATAACAAAAGGAAGGAAGGAAGGAAGGAAGGAAGGAAGGCCCGCCCCCCTCTGCCTTCCCTGAATAAGGAAGGAAGGAAGGAAGGAAGGAAGGAAGG